AGAACCACATATAGTTTTGTGTGTTCTGGGCTACAATGGCTACAAAAAGGAAAAACATGGAGACTTGGAATTCGCGATAGGAAGAACCGCAGCTGCATACTTTTTAAACGGACATTGTGGACCCGAGAGGCAATTTAGTTCCGGTGTTGGGCATACATGTAACATCTGTCTTAACCGAACTGACGTGGCTTTGTATACTCAGAGAATCGATATCAGCAACAGGCAGAGGCGATTGTTTCCAGAACCGATCGTGACGACGGCTTTCATATGGCAGTGAATTATGACTTGACTGCACTGGTAAGATTTGCATGATGGAACTGAAAAACACACACACACACACACACACAAGAAGTCTATCATGGGATCCGGCAGTAACAAAATACAATGAATGTCCATTCAGGAGAGGTGACTGTGATACTCATCGCTGTCTATCTAGCAGTTGCGAGGCATGGGAGAGACTTTCAGTAAGTAAACGAGCAAAAGGAATGTTTGAAATGGAAGTAGTTAATCTCCAGAAGCCAAACTACGTACATGGAAACTAAAGAACAATGTCAGGTTGAAATCTCAGACAGGGCTGACCAGGGTTAGCGCGACAGTGCAGATGCCCCTGCCAGCATGATTTTAGGGGCGACACATCTCACAAACTTTTTTTTTGTTAAGTGAAAATTAATTTCTGCTCAACTTCTCTTAATATTATGACCATTTATTGGCACTAATATAAACACGTTTATGGAACAACGTAAATAAAAATGTTTTAATACGTTTTAATAAGGTTTTCGTCGAGTGTCTTTAAATTTCGTGTTACTAAATGTGACGACGTTTCGGGAAGATTAGTTTGTTTTAACGGGAGGGGGATGTCACATCGCATGGTGTGGCATTTAGGTTTGTGCTGGCCCTGGATGTGAGATCGGGAAAGTCTGAATCAAAATGTGTACGGCAGTAGAGCTTGAAGAGAGAATGAACTGTTTCACCTGGAGGACATCTTGGTTATAACGAGCCAAAGCAGCATGAACTGTGGTGTGACGAAGTGCTCAGAATTGTCTGATAAAGGAAATGGTGACGATCTGTACAACGAGAGAACAAACTTGAATTGGATCTTGAAGCAACTGTGTATGAACGTGTAGCATGAATTCGTGAAGGCCAGTGCTAGGCTTTCGTGAATGCAGTAGCGAAATTTTAAGTTGTTATGAAACGCGGGGAAGTGATTGAGTATCTAAGCGACTGTTAGCGTCTCAAGAAAGCTGTGCTCCGTGGAGTCAGATTTAGAATATCTGCTACCGCGCTACAGTTCATATGATTTTAATATTTCGATGTGTTCGATTCCCGATTAGGCCATTGGATTTTTCAATAGACTTAATCTTTCCAGCCGCACTATGGCGCTGGGGTCGACTCGGCCTCTAATAGAATTGAGTACCAGGAATCTTCCAGGGGTAAAGGGTGGCCGGAGCGTAAGGCTGACACCGCCATCTGTGAGCCGATTGTCTAGAAATCGTTGGAGACTCGACGGCCTGTTACAGGGATAGTTTCACTTTTACTTGGATGTAGTTTTCAGGCTTTCAGTCGCACACGGTAACATATAAATGGATAAAGCTGCTTGTTGTGTAGAAGGTCAACACTGGATTTCAAGTTCAATTTTGAAACTGTCTTTCTGAACGTCCTGTAAATATTCATGAATAAGCTACATACGCCTTTTCTTTCTCTTTCTCATAAAATACAAACATATATTATCACGCCTTTTAAGGTCACGAAGCTTTCCTTTTGTTTGACGGGTTCCCAATATGCTAATTCTTCCAAACGGGCTTTGTAATCTAAACAGAGGTTTCAGTTTTAGCGTTAATATTAATTATTGTATAACATCGCTTTGTATGTATAGCATTATGCAGCGACCATACCAGGAAGGCAAACACAGATGATGTCATTTGATACCATCGAGGAAGAGCGTGTATTGTATTCAGTGCGTTTCCTGTATCTGCTGCAGCATGGGCTATACGACACTCGTACTGTTAAACAACTGGACTGAGCTGGTGTAGAAAGAAATTTTGAATTTGAATTATCAAAATATCAAATCTATGAGATATGCATCGCAGTACGTCTGAAAGGTTGCAGTGGCGTGGTCAGTTGTGACTAACGTCCAGTTTCAGTTACCCTGGTGGGCACCCGGGCTCGTCATTTCTGATTGTCTTCGGCATGTCCTGGCAAATCGCCATTTCTGAATACTCTTCCAGGAAGAATGGAACTTCAGTAACGCTACAAATGTCAGGCGTGTGACACAGTTTGAGACATATGCGTGACAGAATATTTGTAATACTTATCTTCATGAGATTCTTGTCAGTGTATGGGAATTTGAACATCAAATTGAAGGGGTTTGAGAACAAGGTGACGGGGGAGAATATATACACTTAGGAGTTAGGAAGCGGTCATTGGATTTTTTCAATTGACCTAATCCTTCCAGCCGCGCTATGGCCCTGGAGTCGACTGAGCCTCTAACAGAAATGAGTACCAGGAATATTCTTGGGAGTAAAGGGCGGCCGGTGCGTAGGGCTGACCTTACCACCATCTATGAGCCGATTGTCTAGAAAATGTGGGAATCTCAACATCTCACAACCCTATGGGCCTCCACGGACTGTTACATGGATACCTACCTTTTTTTTTTTTACTTTTAGGAGTTAGGAAGCCACTGAAGAACGGATAAAATTATAGGCCTGTGTATAATGAGGAATTTCACAATTTGTATTTTTCACCAAATAATTTTAGAATGAGCAAATTAAGGAGTACAGCACGTACAGCACGCATGGTGAAGATGCGAGAGGAATATGCAATTTTAAATGGAAACTCCACAGCACAGCCTCTCCCACAAACTAGTTGCATTGTTGCAAGGTCGCCATGGCTGTCCGGCATGAACAATCGTGACGTGGCCACACGCCCTGCATTATTTTGCCGTCACACAGACTTAACAGGCGGTAAAAAATAACTGAAAAAGGTAATTCATACCGTGCGACCTTGAAAACGAGAATGGTACCAGGCTTCTTCCGGTTCCAGAGAGATTACAGCATGCCGGTGGGAGGTTGTTTCTTGGCAACGGAACAAACAAGTTTCTTACTTCTCGTGACGTGGAATCTTAGCACCTTCGGTGTTTGTTTTTCCCTCTCGCCACCAAAGAGGATATAGTGGTTATCAAATTACGAACACACCACACCTACAATTTTACACTGTTGATTACTGTAGTTAATATTTATCCTTAAACTCACCTTCATCTGTGAGCCGATTTTCTGGAAAATTTAGGACCTACAACCCTATGGCCTTCACGGTCTTTTACAGGGATAAAGGTAGAGTTGTCCCTGTGCTAAACTAATTAAGCACTACGCCATGGAGGCGTATGGGGGAGTGGATGTATGGATCCACAGTTTCTTGGCCTCGCCACTAGTTCGAGTGGTCAGCTTCACGCCCCGGCCTCTTTACCCCCGGGGAAAGAGTCCTCTGTACCCATTAGATAGGAGGTTGGGTCGACCCCAGGGCTGGTCTAGAAAACTTGGAGAAGAGGCAATTCTTGACCATAACGAGACTGGAACTCAGACTCCTCGGTCACCCAGCCCGCAGCAAATTGCTATACCGACTGTGCTATTACAGGGGTTGCTTCACCGTTTGGGTCTTCATCTCTGGCCCGTTTTTTTTTTAATTCGCTTAC